CCCCCCCCCCCCCCCCCCGGTCCCCCTCCCCCCCGCCCCGCAGCCCCTGCCAGCCCAGCCCTGGGCTCCCCCCCAGCACTGCCGGTGCCCCCCAGTCCTGCGGTCTGTCGCGCCCCTTACGGCCCCCTCTCCGCCCCCCCCCGCAGGGTCACAGAGACCCACCAGCTGGCCGAGGCCAACGAGAAGAAGAACGAGCGGCTGCGGGCGGCGTTTGGCATCAGTGAGAATTACGTGGACGGGAGCTCGTTCGACCCCAACCGCAGGGCCAAGGAGGCGGCCGCGGCGGCTGCCAAGCAGCAGGAGCAGCAGAAGCAGTACAGGTACTGGCGGGGGTGGGGCGGCGCCGCCCCCTGCTGGGCGCATCGGGGCTGTGGGGGGGCTGGCGCCGCCCCCTGCTGGGCGCATCGGGGCTGTGGGGGGCACAGGCTGTGTGCGGTGCTGGGGTGGGTGGCCCATCCCCTCCCTGTCTGGCCGGAGGTGCCACCCTGCCCCCTAGGGGTGGGAATGCAAACAACGGGGCACAAGCTCCAGGCCTGTTGCCCTGGCCCCTGGGGCTCAGCTGGGGGTGAGGGTGGGGCCGGACCAGGGGAGATTAACCCTTTCACGCCTGGTCCGTCTGTCCGCAGCCTGGTCCGTGAGTCCAGCAGCTCCCGCTCTCCATCCCCCAAGCAGAAAAAAAAGAAAAAGAAGAAAGACAGAGGCAGGTGAGTACCAGGATGCCTGGGTTCTTTCCCTGGCTCTGGCAGGGGAGTGGGGGGCTAGTGGTTAGAGCGGGGGTTGGTCTGGGAGCCCGGACTCCTGGGTTCTCTCCCGGCTCTGGTAGGGGAGTCGGGGGCTAGTGGGGTGGGGGGGGTGCGCTGGGAGCCAGGACTCCTGGGTTCTCTCCCAGCTCTGGGTGGGGAGTGGGGTCCAGTGGGTAGAGCGGGGGGGTGCTGTGTGTCTCCAATTCTCTCCAACTGCGTTTGACTCCAGCTGTGTTCCCCCGCAGGTCAGAGAGCAGATCCCCTTCTCGAAGGGAGAGGAAAAAGAGCTCTAAGAAGAAGAAACACAGGTAAGGGATGGGCTGGCTCGGGGGGAGGAGGGGGGCAGGGAATGGGGCATGGGACTTTTCCCCTCTAGGGGGCGCTGGCTCCCATCCGGCCCCAGGGCAGGGGACTGGCTGGCTCGGGGTGGGGATTGGGCCCCGGGGGCTGTTAGTTGGGGGGTGATTGGCACTCAGTGGGGTGATGTGGCTCTGCTGACCCCAGATTCTGTGTTCTCTGTGCAGGTCTGAGTCAGACTCGAAGAAGAGGAAACACAGGTGAGGGACTGCGCCGGCTTTTCTCAGTGAAATGGGCAGCCCCGGCCTCGCCCAGCAGCGGGCGCTGTGGGGAGGGGGCGGGGCACTGGCTGTGGTGGGGAGCTCCTGCCTATTCCAGTGGGGGGCGGAGCGTGGGGGGCAGGGCACTGGGCGTGGGGGGCTCTCACGTTTCCCAATGGTCCCTGTACCTCCCCACCCTCAGGTCTCCCAGTCCTAAGAGCAAACACAAAGCCAAGGAGAAGAAGAGAAAGAGGTAAGAGCCCAGCGTGTGTAACGCCCCACCCCCACCTCCGGGCCTGCGCGCACCCCCCCGCCCACGCTGC